GCTGCTGCTGCTGCTGTTGCTGTTGCTGCTGTTGCTGCTGTTGGAGTTCTTGCTGCTGTTGCTGCTGCTGCTGCTGCTGCTGGTGGTGGTGGTTGTGTGGGTGCTGAGCCTCTTGCTGCTGCTACTGCTGCTGTTGCTGCTGCTGCTACGGATGCTGCTGCTGCTGCTGCTGCTGCTGCTGCAGTAGTGCTTGCTGCTGAGCTGCCTATACACCGAAGGAGCTGCTGCGCTGCAGCAGCAGCAGCAGCAGCAGCAGCAGGGGCATTGACAGCAGCAGAAGACAAAGGGTTTGGGGGATGGCGAGGGTTTAGGGTTTAGGGTTTGAGGTGTAAACCCTAGGGAAGCCCTAACCCCCCTTAAGGCTCGATAGAGCATTGAGGGTTTAGGGTTTAGGGTTTAGGGTTTAGGGTTTACGGTGGTTTACATTTTCGTATATAAATGAATATAAATTTCAATGAAGAATGAATATAAATTCAATGATTAAACACTTAATATCAAATTAGGGTTTAGGGTTTAGGGTTTAGGGTTTAGGGTTTAGGGTTTAGGGTTTAGGGTTTAGGGTTTAGGGCTTTTTTCAAGCAGAAGACGGCATACGAGATACATCGGTGACTGGAGTTCAGACGTGTGCTCTTCCGATCTTTTAGGGTTTAGGGTTTAGGGTTTAGGGTTTTAGGTATAGGGTTTAGGGTTTAGGTTTTAGGGTTTAGGGTTTTGGGTTTAGGGTTTAGGGTTTAGGGTTTAGGGTTTAGGGTTTAGGGTTTAGGGTTTAGGGTTTAGGGTTTGCTGCAGCAGCCCACCGAGTCTTCGCTTCGCCGCCTTCTTCGTGGTCTTCTTCGTCTTTCTTTGTTTCTTTTTTTTCATTCTTTTTTGTTTGTTGTTTTGTTTATTGCTTTTATTTAAAGGGTTTATCCTTCTAGGGTTTAGGGTTTAGGGTTTAGGGTTTAGGGTTTAGGGTTTAGGGTTTGTGTTTCATGAGCATTCGTTCATAGGGGCCTCCTGGCCCGTCCCTGAATCCAAGATGTTTACTTTCCTCCCAAGCAGCAGCAGCAGCAGCAGCAGCAGCAGCAGCAGCAGCAGCAGCAAA